AAAACGAACGCCTAGTAAACACATATGGTAATATGGAGATGGAGGAAGAAGATGAGTTTCTTTTTGTGGAGGCTAAGGAATCAGGGAGCGAGATGGTAGGGTTAACTTTGGTAGAGACAATTAGCTCTGAAAAATCGGTACGTTTCTCATTCTTTCGCGACGGAGGAAGCTGCAGGGATGGAAGCACACAAACTCCTTCACCTAAAAATTTACTTTTGTTTTTACTTGTTTCTTTGCCAAGACTCATTCTACTGTTTTTTTTTATTTTTGCTTACAATAAGGGTACTGGTTTGGTGGGTAGGCTATTTATGATCAGATTTTTTATGGATGGAGGCAATGAGATTGACTCAACCGCTAATAGTCTCTTTACTCTCACCGTTTCAGCGATGAGTCTCGTTCTATATAGGTGGACTATTCTATGTGTGGACATGACGTGAGGGAGCCGATGAGCTTTTGGGTTAGTTGGTCAAGTGGGAAAGTTAAGGTTTGGATCTTGAATATTGTACTCCCTCCGTTCCTATTATAACTTGCAACTTTCCTTTTGCGTCTGTTGCAATTAAAACTTCCACTTTCCCTTTTTGGTAAAGAATTTGTGTTTCACAACATTTCTTACACATTTCTCTCTCATCTGCACAACTCTCCACCACATAATAGAGAAGAGACTTGCAAATGAAGAGAATCTGCAGGTAGCAAAGCATGTGCCCCCACATTTACGACGCTTGCAGCATCTGGAGGCTATATTTGAGGAATATGATGACCTATCTTCAGTGAGAGGTACGTCTAAGGTGGCATTCAAACGACTGGTTGTGGCTCAAGTGAGGCATAAGCTCTTTAAGGGAATTGAGGTGAAATCATATGACTGCATTGTTACAGTCAGAGTTACAAATGATGTTATGCGAGAACTGATAATTGACTCCTACCAAGCTCGGTGGATAAGCTTAGATCGGTGCATCCTTAAGGCAAAAAGCTGAGGAAAAGTCTTCAAATTGGGGAGAGTTGAGGACTGAATTTCTCGATACACTGGAAGGCGTCAGGGAGATGGCACGCCAACTACATCATATTGGATGGACTGTGGATCCGGATAAAATGTGGGAGAAACTTGATCCGGAGGTGATGGAGTATATGGTCCTCGTGGGGTTCAGGGGCCGGGAGGTGCTGGCCTCACTTGCATTCCGGGGGGGAAGACGGCAACTGTAACCCTCGACCTCTCCTTCTGCTCCTCCTGCTCAGCGACTTGATCGGCGAGGGCCATCTCCTCGTCTTTGATCACCTGCTCGAAGTCCTCAGCTTCGGCTTCAGCAACAAGTTCCTTCTGCACCTCTATGGCCATTGCGGCATCATTCCCGGCCGAGGGTTGCTCACTCGTGGACTCCACGTCTGAGATGCTTTCCTCCTCCATCGAAGGCTCCCTCGAGATGTCTTGGGAATCGCTTTGTGAAGACATTTTTTATACTAAACTGAGGGTTCGGAGGGAGATACTAAAGGCTCTAAGCTAAAAACATTTAATCTAAGGCCGGGAAGCGAAGTATGCAAGAATTGCCAAGAACTGACCTCTGAGAACTGGTTTTGACCGAAGGCTGGAGTTTCTCGCTCTAGAAAATTTGCCAGAGCTCCGCTAACAACAATGATCGCGCAAGGAAAGTGGTCCTTGGCCTTGGGTATTTATAGGCACCGCGAATATGGGCTTGGGCTGGAAACCGGGCCTCCAGTTACAAAACCATCATTACAAACCGTCGAGTTGCCCAATCGGTGACGCCCGCCCACAGGCAGCCAAAGAACGCACGCCCCCCCTCCAACGGCTATATTTCCGACGTTACATCTTCCAACGGCTCTATTAGAACGGCTATATTCTGGGAACCCGGGTTGTCTCCTTCACTCCACTTCATCAAGAGGAGCCCCCGGGTATACTTAGCCAGAAGTGCTCCCGGCCAATGCACCTCATAATACATCACAAGTGCCTTCGGGCTCACTCCTTCAGAAGTCCACGGCTTCACAACGGGCACACCCCTCGGGAACACTCATCCCTCAAACACCTTGAGGACCACGTAGCCCCTGGGGAGCACACCTTGTCAAGGAAGCCCCACGGGGCACCGCAGCCCTCCCCCCCCCTTGTCAACAAACAAGGGACCCCTCGACAACACAGGAAATATCATCTACATTCATCGCGCCCTCATTCTCATAAATTGAGGGCTCCCCTTCAAAATCTCCCATGATATCAATAGCACGCCTTCGGCAAATCAACACACGCACCCTCAGACAAGGGTAACCTTCGACAAGAAAACTACCACACATTTCAGACCAGGGTTTCACCTTTTCGATTCATCATTGGGGGAATTCGGTGCACTCTTTTTCCCTCATTGGAATTATTTCCCACAGGGTTTTTTCCAATGAGGTTTTTAACGAGGCATCCCCCCAAAATGAAACGAAAAGCGTCACCCCTCGGCTTCATATTGCAGACAGGCACCACTCTACTCCTTTTCACCACTTTGCAAGTGCCTCAAGGAGTTGGGGACTGGAGGACCCCTTCGGGGAAAATCTCAGAATATAAAAATATCAAAAAACTCCCACAACAACAAATATGATCCCTCAAGTCCCGAGAGGTGGGTAACTGAGGGACTGCCCTCGGCTGAAACATGCACACAACGAACTACTCACAAACTTTACAAACAACAACGGAACAACGGCAGAGGACAAACACAATTACTCCTTTTCCCTCAAGTACCTTTCGGCAAAAGAAGTGAGGGACTCGTGATGGAGTCTATGGCTCAGGGACCCCCGGCCCATAGACTCCTACTACTTTTATCAAGGCCCAATAGGACCAGGAAACACAACAGGGCCAAATCACAGCGTCCCGAATACCAAGCAGCCAACAAAGCACACTGGGGGTGCCTTCGGCCCCTTGGCCGAAGGTTCCAGATACTCACAGAACGGTTTTTTCAGGCATACGAAGACACTGGGAGAAGACAGTAAAAACAGCAGCCCTCAGCACCTTGAGCCCTCGGCAGCTAGGGTGCCCCCGGAAGGAAGAGCCCTCGATCGATCATCTGGGGCCGAAGGCTTCTCCTCGACAGAATCTCCCACCCACATGTGCTGGATCAACGTACCAAGTACAAACGTCACATCCAACCCCCGCATTTAATGCAGCCACATGCGAGTGCGAGTGCCACCCCGTTGAGGTGACCCCTCGACCACCAGAATGATGACACGTGTCCCTATCTGGAATTTATTACTACTATAAATAGCGCCCCTTTTTCCCCATTTGTAACTCAAGTTAAACTCGCTCACTACATTCTCAGCAATATACTCTCTCTCTCTCTTACTTTTGCTCTGACTTCTCTCTAGTTACTCCCCGCAGTAACCCTTCGGATACATACCCCCGGGTAGACTATCCATCAGGAGAATTTGACGAAGGAACTGAATACTGCATTATCATTTATTGAAGAGTCAAGAATGGATTCATTAGATGAACAGGGGTATGCTAACATAAGCAACCAGAGTGAGAAAGCGGTGAATCACATGTGATTGACACCGGTGGTCAACCTCCCGGCATTTGGGTATACTCTGCCTTATATACTACCCAAGAAGACAGTTGTCGAGCGAGCGCGTGGCCATGTACTGCAGGAGTATAAGGCAGTAGATACTACTGGGGCTGCTGTGCAACCACAGGATGGAGAAGGCAAAAATGAGGATGATGGTTGGGATGAGATTGAAGATGAGACAGTCTCTCTCTTCCTGAATAGATTTGAGCAAATTTTGTTGCATTTCGGTTAAAAGTATACTCCCTTTGTTCCCCTCTCCAAGACCTCTGTTCCCATTTCGGTTAAAGGTTCTCATTTCTCAACCCCTTTCGTGAGCAAAATTAACAATTTCGAAATTACTTTTCTTATTATTATGATTGACTATGCAAGTAAATTTATCAAAATATCTAAATTATACAAAAATGAGAATATTTTTTCTTTTATTTAATAATTATATCCATTCATAGAAGATATTTTGCGTATGATTAGTTAAAACAGTGGGTGGGATTTTACACATTTTTAAATCACAAGGGTTTTGGTTCATTAAACCTGAAATCATTAACACTCTTAAATGATAATTTAATTATTAAATATTAAAAATAATGCATCTATAACATCACATTTATATAATCAATTACTCCATTATATTATACTTCGTATAACCATCAAACAATTTCTCAAAATATATTAATATTACCTTATTTAATTATTATATAAATAATTTGAATTTATCTCCATATGACGTAACACTTTCTTTGAATTTTTAGAGGAAACTCTTCCTGGTTAAGTGGTTATTGTATGTTTTGCGATGAGCAAAAACTAAAGTGAAGACCATCCTCGGTCTTTATCTCAGGTCGGATTAAATATACCTCGAGAAAAATGTCTTCACACACGGCCAACTGTATGTTGCCATATCAAGGGTCAAGAGTAAAGGTGGACTAAAGATTTTAATTCACTTTAAAGATCTGGGATTTTCCATCAACGCCATTTAGAGTGGTCCTTGAAAATTTAGAAACATAGCCTTTCAATTTTTTTAATGTCTCTTAGTCATGCTAAGGATTTTATATTATTTCATGAAAAATGACATGTATATTACATATACAGTTTCCATGTACAAAAATGTGATTTGTTATGTTTTTGAACAAAAATATGACTAGTCACTATGTACGAGTAACTGGACATAAGTCACTCATTATATTGTATTTTAGAGTAACAAGTCACCGGTAGATGACGAGCCACTGAATATGTCATTTTTTTGAAAAATTTCAAATCAAGTCATATTTTTGTCTTTTGAATTTAACTTAGTAATATTCATGAAAAAAAGACCTTATATCATCATATTACTAAAGATTTATGTGTTTTTGTCAATAGAAATTACAAATCCCAAAATTCACACGAAAGAAACATTATACATATACAAACGATATATGAATTATAAACTTACAGTTCCATACAGAAGTTGCACACGGGGCAACGCCTAGGCACAAAACTAGTATAAATAAGAGATTTCATAGCTTTCAATATGGCAAATTTAGCCGGTTTTGGAGAATTGGAAATCAGTTATTAGATGAATAAATAGGGAGTAATTACTTTAGTATAGGATTAAAAGTTAATCAAAGTGTATAAACATGACTATATGTTTATGATTCTCGAAACATGACATATTTGATCTTATTAAAAGTATAAAACTTCATCAATTAGGAGTCCACAACTCCACGAGTGTTCTTTAGTCAAACGCTAGAAAGGAGTCAAATGCATAAAGGATATCTTAACTAATGGTAATGTTGCACTTGTACCTTAACTCTTAAATGAATCAAAACGGTACCTTAACTATACATAAATGTTTTGAATTGAGATTTTATTCAAATTTCTGACTAAAAAATCACATGTGACGGCCATAATTCTATGCGTAAAGTCTACTTCACCTTATTTTTGTCCATATGATCATTACATGGTGAATCTACACGTGCAATTTTGATCGTCATGAAAGATTTTTTGATCGGAAGTTTGAATAAAATCTCAAATCGAAACATTTATATATAATTAAGATACCATTTTGATTCATTTAAGAGTTAAAGTACCAAATTGCTACATTACCAATAGTTAATTAAGGTATCATTTATACATTTAATATCTCCACCACAAGAACATAAATGAATAAAAGAAGTATTACAGTAACCACTATCGCAGAGGAAACAACCAGTGCAGTAGATGGCTTTTTAAATTTGTCGGCGAAACCAAGTAGTACTCCTGCTTTGCAAGAATCACAATCCAAGCAAAATTTGTATTGGTCATGGTTCCACCTAGCACAGTCAGCATCCAGAGCTGCTGTTCGATTGATGGTCGGTTTCCAATTTGTTGGACTCACAAAAGTGAAGTTACAACTCTGTGGAGGAATGCAACATCCAGACTGCGCGCAATCATGAAATGTCAGTTCATGAAAAATATACGAGTATATGTATATACCCAAATGTTTCGATTTAGGATTTTATTCAAATTTCTGTACATCGGATCGATTATGACGAGTTTTGAATAGAACCTGTACGGGGGAGAGGCTTGCAGCATAAAGTTCTTGAGCGGTGGAGAAGTTGAAAGAAGCGCTCTTGAGGTCAGCGCAGGGACCGTCGCCAATGCCGAGGCAAGCTGCGATTCCGTTCCAGCGATGCACATCGCTAACCCGACCGCGAAGCCTGGAAGAGAATGACTGGAAACGGTATTCCACGTAACCCCGGTTCGGCACCTTCTCGAGAGAGCCCGAGTATTCGGTGGAGTCTTGCATCATCAGAATGCTTAAACAAAGCGTGGCTACTGCCAGTAAAAGATTTATAAACAGTGCCGCACAGTATGAACCGTGAATCTTCTTTCCTAGGCCGCCGCAGCTCCCCAGGATCATGTGGACTCCAGTGACGACAGCCACCACCCCGCCTGCTAATTGGACGGAGCCGATCATCATAAAACTGATACAAGGATTGCTGCTCTTCAGGATCGAACAACCGTATACAAGAATAGTGATACCCAGGGCCAAGGTTGCAATAGAACCAGAAAATACGCAACAGTTGTTCGAGGGGCGCTCTCTTGCCATTTTTTGATAACTGCCTTAGCTTTGCGTACTATTACTTACATTTTTTGATATATATATATATACTTCGTATTACTATTACTGGGTATTAACTAAATAAGGTTCTCTATACATCCTTCAAAACAATGTTCTTAATTTGCTCGACACTCCACCCCATTAAAGCATTCGAATCTTTTCTCTAAATTAGTAGGCTATGAAAACACATTTGTTCACACCTATATATTGGGCGTTTGGGGTGCTACATGAGGCATGGCACAATAATTCGTTTTAATTTTCCAATTGTTGCAACTGTTTCATTTATGATTCAATTTTTTCGAAAATACATGAATATTTTTAATTTTTTATGATCTTTCAAATGGTATCAATATTACGTGTGAAAAATTAAAAAAATCCAGCTAAAAATAGATTTAAGAAATAAAGTTTTTTATCTTTTATTTTTTATATGAAGTATTGATACCACCGGAAAGATTATAAACATCATATATTTTTTCCGAATATATTATTTCCTGGGCATATTATTTAAGAAATATGAGGTTTCAACACACATTAAGGGAGAATAGATACTTGATTTCTTGAACTGATTTTTCTTTTTTTTTGAGGAGTTAATTGTAATTAAGGAATAATGCCTTCCTTAACAATAAATTTAACTCACAATACACACAAACACCGCACACATCAATAACACAGGAAATGAAGCTTCTAAAAAATCAAACCAACAGAGAAATTAATGATATTAAGGTACAACAATTCAATGCAAGAATACAATAACAAACAATACTCATGCATAATGACAGATGATATGAGATTTATTAATTAATTATTTAGTGTCAAATGAAGCCAGAGGGGATGGTCTTGTGGCAGGAACTCAGGCCGCTCAGGGCAACTGGCACGGCAATGTTCAGCCCAAAGAACGTTCACCTTCAGGGCGGTGCAGAGGCAGGCGGCAGCCTCCATGTCAGCAAGCCCTTCATGAAAGCTGCAGCACGGGCTGGTTGGCGTGTACCGTGCTCAATCGCGATATTGATCGGCCCGCCGAGGACGTCGGCGCACACCCTTAGCTTCAACGCGTTTAACAACTTGTATATCAAACAGAGCTAAATCACACGGTCAGTTTTTTACCAAACAGGTACTGCCTCTTCTTTTTAAGATCTTTTGAGTCACTAAAAGCTAACCGTTACTAAAAAGCTTATAAAAGTATCTTTTCAGCTAGTTGTGCCAAACATGCACTTAGTGTTGGCCCGGTTTGCTCTAGGGCTGGCTAGCTCTTGAACTGATTTTCCATTATCAAGAGGTAAACCTTATATTCATGGGAAATTTCCTAGGATATGACTAAAGCTCAATGAGTTTCCCGATCTAAGACCTAACTAGTTTTTAGCCTTTTGTATGACCGAAAATCCAAAAAAAATCTCATTTATATTTAAAGGTTGAATGACGAAAATACCCTTATTTAAAGTATGTGCATTTTGAACTAATCTCGTCCACTTAAAATTATTGCACTTTATATTGTCGTTACTGCACGACATTAATGCACGACTTTACTGCACATCCGGTAATAATCACTGCACTTCCGCCGAAATTAATTCTCTTCTCATTCGCTAGAGGAATTTATTTCTTGTTTTGTTTTTTGTGTTTTAGATTTAATAATTTCATTATTTTACGTCTTAATTAAGTATAGTATATTGCATTTCATGATGATATTACTGCTCCGTGTTACTGCAATACTGGTTATAATCACTGGACAAAAAAATTTCTTAATGCATTCATTCATTGTCATGTACAACATGTCTATTATCATATATATTCACTACTCACTTATTAAAATGTTCGGTGCCAATATTTGATGCTCATGTTTAATACCTAAAAACCTAAATTCAAGAAACCCTAATCTCAAAAAATACAAAAAGAAGAATATAATGAGGCAGACGGCTGGGCTGGATCTGAGTTCTAGATCGATTGGTTAGTCCCTCACAAGATCAAATGTATTGTTAATGATTTGAAGAATCCCAGGGAAGACACTACTTGACTTCCAAATCCCAATAGTCGGTACCGTAGTCCAGTCATCCTCTTTGTTGGTGATTGGTCAAACCCTTGAAGTCCACAAGGCGCAAACAGCGATTTGGAACTAGGAATTAAATCTCAGAGTCAATTGGTTCTCCAATCTCCAAGGGTGGCGAAGGTGCAGCTTGTCCAGTCGTCCTCTTCATCAGCCCCTCACGACGGTCGTGGTTTGGTTCATTATGGATCGAGTAGAGGCAGAGTCGTCTCCTCGCGCTAGCCCCACCTCTTGGCCGTCAATGGCATCCTGTTCGTAGTTCACGACCATGAGGCCGTCAATCTACATGAATAATGGTCGTTTGCTAAAGGGTGGACAGTGGTGGTGGCCAGGGGTGGAGGTGGAGGGTGGCCAATCGGGCCCCATCCTGACCCAAATTTTAAAATTGCTTATATTTTTAATGTAAAAATATATGTGTAAAACTTTATCTGTAAATATTCTTTGTACCGGCCCAGCCCAACTCTTACTCCTGCCTACGCCCCTGACGGTGGCTAGATGGCGGGTGGCAGTGGGGCGGTAAAACGGCTGCGCGGGTGGGCGTTGGGAGGTTGTGACTTGGGTTGAAGAAAATGGGTAGGAGGTTAGGGTTGTATAGATATAAGCTAAAGGGTATTATTGTCCATAAAAATTATTTATTATTTATTAAATACGAATTTCAACTAAATATTATGAATATTAATATTATTTTGAAAAAGAAAACTAGTTAGGTCAAAGGTTAGCATACTATCTAAGATAATTGTCTCTATATTCATTTATGGCACTAATATGAGACTATTTTTGTCTTTCCATTAGTTAATCAATAGAACAAAAGGTTTTCTTGACAAATACTCTGTAAATAATATCGAACAAAAGGTCTGGTTTTAGAAATTAATGTCATCCAATTATCCAAATGTGAGATCTTTTAGAAAAGGTTGTTATAAATCTCGATGTCCCAATAAAAATAAACTTGGTGCATGAGCTTTCTACTAATAAAGATGGGGAGGAGATGGATCGATAGGGATTTGAAATTAAACCACCTAGGAATATCAACATTTTATTGATTTTTGTTAAAACAGAATTCACACCACTGTGTGTGTTATTAGACAATCAGATTTGTTCTAGTGTGTTTGTTTCAGATTCTTTGTCTTATTTATGCTTTTTTTTAATTAAAGTTTGTCTTATGCTTTTGAAAACTGATTGTGGTCACTGTTTTGAAAATTGTTGTCCAAATTATGGAATCTCTTGCTTTCGGTTGTAGAATATTTGTATTGTTTGTTTTCTATTCTTTACATATATATTTTGGCAGGATTTGCAAGGAAGAAGATATATGAACTTATAGATTAAAGAGCTGAATTGACATAGGTATAACAAAGGGAACCATAGATTAAAGAGCAGAAGAGTAGCTAGATTAGATAATGCTTCACTTTGTGAAAGCGTGTGTAGTTTATGAAATGAAGATTGTATTCCAAGCATTCAGCGAATAAGTTTATAATAATAATATTTTAAAAATGACGTACAGTGACACCAAATTAGTGTCACCTTAAGTTTCCATGACACTAAAAAAGTATCCATGCAAGTGGGGGTTAGTGACACAAATAAAGTGTCACTAAAAGTGTCACAAAATTATGACACTATAGTTTTACCAAATTATGACATCACGGTATCACAAAACTCAATGACACTATGATATCACAATACTCAATGACATTCCGGTATTACAAAACTCAACGACACACTATTTATTGTTATTGTTTTCAATTAACGTTGATGCTGCTCTCTCATGAAGATATTTGCGAACTGAGCATGGTGGTTAGGGATGATAATGGACCATTTGTGGAGGCCATAAGGGAGGTATGGCTTGGCGGCGAACAGGTGATGACCTACACGCTGAGATATCGCAAAGAAGCTCTGGGTATCGGAGGCGCTAGATCTCACAGAATGGAAGAAATTGAGGAATATGTCTAAATATGGCTTAATCTTCAAAGAAATGCATCGCACAATGAACAGGTTGGTAGAAGGGGTGAGTTGACCCGATATAACCCCGTAATGGCGTAAAATATCTAGGAGAGCAGGGTGGAGAGGAAACCGAAGGCCCATTTCTAATTAAACTGGCTAGATGAACCCCGAAATGAAGAGGGGAGGGAGGCTCTACGATGTTCTGCACCGACGTAGGGCGAGAAAAACGATGGAAGGCCCGACAAGGCGAGCTGCTTCCGAGAACTCAGCATCGGAAATCGGAACCGCTAAGACTCCACGAGCAAAGTCGGCAGACAGATAAAAATTTGGGGCTATTTTATTCTCCGAAATCTACTAATTTTTCAGTGATTGTGTGAGCTAGTAATTGCCATCAAATATGGGTTATATTAAGGATGTTTTTACTTGGACTGTAATTCCTCCCAGACCAGACCAGACCAGACCAGACCAGACAAGACCAGACCAGACTTGGATAGTTATAAAAATACAAAGAAACCAGACCAGACCAGACCAGACCATACCAGATCAGACCAGACCAGACCAAACCAGACCAGACCAGCAAATTACAGTCCAAGTAAAAACATCCTAAGGATGTGCTGATTTCACTAGTAGAAAAATGGTCTATAGTGACACTAAATTAGTGTCACTAAAAGTTTTAGTGACACCAAGAAAGTGTCAACGAATGGTTGGAACTCTGATACTAAAAAATGTGTCACTAAAAAGTGTCAGTAAATTGTGATACTATAGTATCATAAAATGTAGTGATATATTTGTATCGAAAGTTTTAACGACTCTTTGGTATCATAAGAGTTAGTGATACACATGTATCATATAAGTTAGTGATACATTACATGGGTATCATATATGTTAATGATACACATGTATACACACACACATATATATATTCTTGAGTGATATCATAATGTACATATTGATAGGTATTAGAAACATCAAATAAGCTTTTCATTAATAATGTAACATGAAAAACATTCTCACATTTTAATGCAAACA